ACCACCCTACTTTATATGTCGTTCGATAGAGAATTTCACGGGCTACAAAATGATATGTAAGACAGACGGAAGAAAATGTAACTGGGTAGTTTAAGGTTTGAAATACTCGGTAGTATCTCAGCAAACCGGTGTGTCAAGCTCATTCATATTTGTACCATCCATCCAATTTGTCTTCATTTTGAGTTGTCTTTTACCTTACATCGAGAAGAGAATACGTTGAACATATCACCTTCTTTAGAACTAGACTAGCTTTTCCATTCTGTTCTAGAAGTAAACATATTTATTGAACTCTAGTGAAGTAACATAATCAAGAAAAAGAAGCAAATATCAGAAAAATCATTTAGAACGTCTTTTTGGAGGTTGTTGCAAATTGTCACTAGAAATGTCTTTGTTCTTCAATGGTTTGTTTGTTGTGGAAGCAGTTGTACTTGTTTGTTGTTGCCCCTTGGTTTTTGAAATTTGTGAACGTGTTAGTCTTGAAATAACTTCACTAATTACAATAGAATCTTGTTCTAATTCTTCTTCGTCATCGTCCAGATCATCTTTATCTGTCGAACGAAGTTTAGACTTAGTGAGAGCTTGTGATTGTGATGCTGATGATTGTTGTCTTTTTCTAGAGGCAGCAAGGCGTCCAAAAAATCCTTTGATTTGTGAATCGGTTAACCATTCATGTGGATCGAAAAATGGGAGTACCATCGTTTTCTGTTCTAACTTGCATTTCAATTGCCGCACTTTTCGGATCCCATTTCATACCACTAATTCCTTCTTCAAATTTGTTTGTTAGATATTCCTTTTGTTTATTTGTAAATGGAGTTGCTGGCTTTTTGATTAAAGCTGGCCAGTTTTGCTTGAGAGATGGAATTGAAGACTTCTTCATTGTTGAATCAACGACTTGAAATGGTAAGGAGGGCAATGGCTGGTCATGAACGGCTTCTAAATTCTGTTGGTATAATAGTTTACTTCGATCAATTAATGACATTCTATGTGGTTTTCGTTGATGACGTCCAGAAGCAATGTGATTCAATAAATGACCGTACTTTCGATATTGGCGAATACAATCATTTTCTGGACAATCAAATATTCGAGGCATTTCTATCATATCATTTTCTTCTTCGACTATAGTATCATCGTTCTCTTCTTCATTTTCACTTTCTGGTTGAGAATCACTTTCAAGACCTGGCAGTGAAAGAGAAGAATACACTACAGATTAGAGATTCGAAAAAGAAGCGAAAGATCCAAGTGTAGTGTTTTCGTGAACCATGCGAAAGAAAAACTCGAAATTTAGAACGGTTTAGAGTGTTTCTGTTATCAAGACTCGGTTCAAAAAGCTCGTTGGACTTTTCGAGTTATCTAAACTGGAACTTACCTTTTTTAATCCACTCAGTAATCCACTCGATTTTCTTCTTTGGTGAATAAATACAGTTTAATACATTAATTGATTTAACGAGTGGGACTTGAGACCATTTGAAAGTCTTTCCTTTCCCTATTTGATATGAACGCCATGTACGAATTTCTTCCTTGTTATATTCAATGTTAAAATAGTTACTAATTCCCTTCCATTCAATTTTATCATTATTCACTTGATCAATTGTACAGGCATGAAATTCTACTCCACGTGCTAATGATCCTGCTTCACAGAATTGCATGGCATTTGTCACATCATTTTTCTGATTGATATAAGCACGAATAATACATTTTATAACAGCAGCCATTCGATCACATGGTCCTTTGCCACCTTGTGGGTCACAAAAATCAACGCTTTTTATCCAAACACCAGTATCTTGTGCTAATTTTGACATAGCCAATAATGTTTCCGACCCATGATAGCAGCCAGCGTTATCTGCTCGAATGTGTGCATATTTTATTTGAGGAAATTCTTGTTTTATTTGTAGAAAAATATGTTGAAGAACACTAATAACAGTCTTTCCATTTTGGATACATTGATCAAAAATGTGTACGAATGTTTTGTGTTGATAAACGGATGCTGCTTCACCAGCAGTTGTTTGTTGAGAAGCTGAGGATGTCGATCGATCGTTGGTTGACACTTTACGTATAATGTATGCCACATGCCAAGAGAGTCCTCGTTTAGCAAAGAAATCTCGTTGTGCTTCACGGTATGCAGTTGGCAACCATTTCATCGCCCAGTCAATGTATACGAAAATAGTATTACCTTCCATTTGTTGCAATAATACAGTTCTGGCATAGTCTTGATGGACCAGTCTTAACTGATGAGCTTTCCATGCATTAATACATCTGGCGTGATGATTCAATCGATGTAAAAGTCGTTCACGAATTTTTGTTTCATTCAATTTGTTGATGCCACATTCGATAGATTGTATTGTTTCTTTCAATAATTCACATCTATCACAAACATCGTCATGGTCATGATCACATTCTTCTCTCCACGATTTTTCACTCGTATCCGATAAAGCAAATGTTGAACAGTGATCAGAAATGCTAGAGTGACGTTGAACATGAGTTTTATAATCTGTTTTCAGATAATTCTTGCTGGCTTGTAAATTTTTCTTAATAGAAGTTGCATCCGAAGTTGACAGTCCTAAAAGAATGTGTTAAAGAAAATAAGAGATTTGAATGTAATCTTATGCATATAAAAAATCTACTACTTACCTAAACGTTGCAGGTCATCAACAATTGTAATTAATATGTCGAATGAAGAAGAACCATCTGCAGTAAAATAATCAAGACCTTGTAGTGAAGTTCGAGTAGATTCTGCACATTCGTGTAATATAGAATATAAGGAACTCTTTTTTACAGGTTGAAAGCCTGGCGACATTTCCAAACAATAAGACAGATATTGATCAATTATTCTAGATGGAATCATATTTCTAATAACATTTGAAATACTTATTTCTTCACCAGTTGACAATTTTAATGTTTTTTGACCGAATGGCAAATCGGTTGACACATGTGGAGAACTGATAAATTGAACAAAATGTGCCACCTGCTCATCGGTGTAACGTACTGTTGGCTGTCGACTTGTATCGACAACTGTTCCTTTTCCAAAATAATCTGCTTGTTCACCAGCTTTTGTGAAACGATAAGGAGTAAGATCTGGAATAAATTTTTGTATAATGGAAAGAGGAACATCTTTAGCAAAGGTAGAAAGTATTTGACGTTTTGTTGACCAGTGTTCACAATTTTGATATGATTCTGCTAATCCTTGCATTATAATTTCAAAATTTCTGTCCATATTAATATTAGTTCCGTTACCTGAACGATATGAACTTTCAATTATATCTTCCCATATTTGAGCAGAATCATTTGGAGCTAAGGTTTGTAGAATAAACTGTAGAATTTTTGTTGCTGAATGACAGAAGTTCTTTTTACTTTTAAAAGTACGGCCATTATATGAAAATGTTGTTGGTATTTCTTGTTGATAATTCATACTTCGTAAGGAATCTCTCAAAGTTTGTTGATTTTCTCTTGCTAACTGACTAAAAATTGTTTTAATTTGCTCATATTGATTGGACTGTGATGATGATATAGTTGTGGGTGTATGCACAATATTCTCATCGTAGAGCCACTGGAATAATTCTCTTGATTCTTGTTTAATTTCAGGTGTCACGTGATGTTTTCTCAATTCTTGTCTACAAGTTTCACAAATTGGCTTACCAAACATTGAGATTTTTTTCATTTTCCATATAGTTAATCCATCTAATTTGCCAATGGATCGAATTCTACTTCTGCCTCTTTGTTGGCGATCAAAACAGGGTTGACAAACTGAACAAACACTAAAATTACGATTGTCTAATGGCTGAGGATGAGCAGAGCACACATTATAATGTAAAACATTAAACGGCTTTAAATCATAACATCCGTGTTGCAGTAATAAATATTCCATTTTAGAAGAAACGCCTTGAGTACTAGAAAAGTTAGATTTGTTCTCGACTAATTCACCACAATTAACTTCTTCACCATTAAAATCGCTGAAAGTTTGATTCACATTAACGTATGTTGACAGGGAATGTTGATGACATATTTCTTCGTACAATAAACATTTTCTTTTATTACTCATTTTGAAAAAAATACTAGAGCGACGGTTGCAGTAGTTATAGAGTGAAATAATAGAACAGAATGACTACTACTGTATCGCTTTATATATACAAAAAAAATACCCACTTCTTTCATCAAAAGACCAAGGCTCTTTCTTTCTCTATAGTCCGTTACATACTCTCTATCTTTTTCAGTCACGTAAGCTTTATACTTCACAGAAGAACTAACAATACAGCAAAACAGTACGTATATAAATAATATTCCAAAACGTCTGGCTACCTTTTTAAATTGAGTTTATTGTAGAAGAATGCCAACGGCCTTATTTATACCTACACACAGAAAAGAAAAAGATAACTCTAAAAATGCATAAAGAGATATGCAGAGATAGGTACAGTTCATGTTCCAAACTAAAGAAGTCCTCAATGGACAAATTAGATGGATGGTACAAATATGAATGAGCTTGACACACCGGTTCCCAAAAAACTCGATCTGCAAAAATCTTTGCAGATTCTGCAAAGATTCTGTAATCTGCAGTTTTTCTGCAATGCAGATGTGCCAAGATTTGGCCAAAGATCTGATGCAGATCTGCAAAAAAATCTTTACA